TATATATATATATATATATATATATATATATAAATGATTACTTGAATGGCGTCTCAAGGTCAACCTCATAAAAATCTTATATTATGAGTTCTACTTCGTAGAAACACTCTTTAACGAAACTAACTTTAATTTTAGCTTATGTGACCAAGAAACTATTGATTTTGCTTGGTGGGCTGAGAATGTCTGATTATCAATTTATCCAATAAACTATTGGAGTCTCGTGTAGTCCATAATGGATTAATCGTTTGTTTCGAGTACAACGATGTGAGAGTGGTAGATCGAACTCACAACCTCTTTGTTGGAGATATATGTCAATTACTGTTTAGTTTTGCTCACTTTTAATCTATTCCAAGTGGTTCATGTCGTAAAAAAAAACATTTTTTTTAAGAAACAGGGAAAATACAGTTGAGAGGTTTCCTCTATTAGTTAGGTTAACATTCTGTTTAGTTCTATGCCCTGCGATAATGATTCATCTGTATCATTATTCTTACATTTAAAAGGTTAACATTCTGTTTCAAAAAATGAACCCAGTTCGCTTTTACTTGACTGTCTATGGCTCCATTGCGTGTGCTCGGGGTAGAAGTTTTGTATAAATGTATCGACATGCTATTAAGTATTTTGATTTAAGTTCTTTTCTTTCTAAGAGGGTGAATAGAATAACCTGGTTGAAGCGTAATGATCATATTCAAGTAGATCGAAGGTCATCGATAAAAAAGATTTGCCTAGGTCATTTCCTTTTTGTCCAAAGTTACTTCTTTTTTCTTCTCTTTTTGTCTAACTCATTTCCTTTTTTCTTTGCGAGTTTCGAGAATATCCTTTAAAAAACAAACTGATGTTTTAAAAAATAAAAAGAAAAATAAAATAGCCTACATAATCACACATAACAAACAAAAATCTTTCCTGGAGTGAGGGAGAAAACGAAGAGTTTTCAAGATTTCTAGAAGAATACAAAAGGCAGAATCGATTTTAAACCATAATATATATGCTCGGCTCGTGCATAAATGATCAACAAAAAAGATTTTGTGAAGTTTAAAAAAAAAAAGACAAACAAACACGAGTTTCATCTACTTCCACATATGAACCTCCATAAGTAAAAACACAAAAAATTCAGCAATCTTCCATCTCCACTTTGCTATAATATCAAGCGACTTAACAATAAAATTCGAGAAGGAAAAGACCAAAACTCGAAACTCTACAGTCAAACTTATGAAATCTTGAAAACTCTATAGTCAAATTTACAGAAATGTTTAAATTTACAACAACTATTATAGTTTAGGGATGATTTTTGCCATCCACATAAAAACCCATATGATTTTTGCAATCCACATAAAAACCCACTTTGTGTTGCACTATTAAAATGCTTGACCCTTAATATATTAAAATAAAAACTACTTTTATATTAGCAGACATAAAATCCACCCAAATGTTACAAAATTAAAGACATCATTTAAAAATCAAAGCAAAAATTACAAATAATTACTTCAATTATGAAGGTCTTAGGTCACTCTAATATTTATGATATATTTGTCAAAAAAAAACAAAAATTATGATATAACATTCAAACAAGAAAAAAAATAGAAATAGTTAAGAAATATAAAAGCACAAAGGCTAGAGAGAGAAAGAGTAGCATTTTTCATATTTTTGGAAAAAAGTGAAGAAAATGGAAATTCAATTATGGGATGTAAAATATTCAAGAAGGCAACAAGAGAGAGAAGATTGGAAAACAGTTGAAAGATTTAATTATAAATAATAAATAATAAATGTAGAGAGAGAAAAAAGCACACATTTTTCGCATCTCTCGAAAATGATGTTTGTTTCCCATTCACCCTTTTTTTTAATTATTAAATTTCTGTTGCTGACTTTGGTAGTTATTATTATTATTATTATTATAATATATTTGTTATTTTTTTTTAATTCCACTTTCCGACTTGTCGTATTCCTAAGCCAGAAACGACGTCGTTTAATTCTTCAACTTTTGTTTTCATTATTAAAGCAAACACAACAGCAACAAATGAGCCATTAGAGTCTCCAGACAAAGAGTGTTTGCATTTCTAATGGCTGCACCCACACTCCATTAAAGTTACCATTTTGACCCCAACACCATCATTACTGCCTTTTTTCTCCTCTACCCTTGATAGGAAACATGGCCCTTACTCTAATTTCTCATGCAGATGAGGCAAAACTGATCATTCTTCCAAAAAAGCAATCAACTTTCAGAGCAAAGAGATGAAAAATCCATGGACATGTTTCTCAATCATTAAACAACAACACTTCAGAGTTTGCAGTCTATACATTACTTTAAGGAAAAAAAGAGCCTAAGCTTACCACTACGAATCTACAAAAAAAAAGGGAAAATACGTACCGACTTGTTATCCTTCATCGTCACGGTATTCACATCCATGAAATGGATATCTATGTCTCTGATTGGTTTCTTTAGAGATAAGAGATCGAACCATGTTGCACTTGCAGCTAGTCATGGTTACTGGCCTAAGCTCTTTACAAAAAAGGAAAAATCAAACAAAAAGAACACTGGAGGGAAAGTGCTAGTTATGTGCTTTTAACAACAACAAATGGAGGTTAGAGGTAATCTTTGGTGGATTGATTGCACTGATTAGTGTGATTTTCCGAGCACTGCGAGGACTTTTCTACCGAACATGTTTGTCCTGAGCGCGGGGACGTGCAGTTTGATTGCATCCACAAGTTTAGCATGGAGAGAACTCTGTTTGGCAAACAAACATTCATGTAATTCAATTAGACATCAGTTTGACAGTCACCAGACAGTTCAGAAACCATTTTTCTTTTCTTTTTCTTCTTGTGTTCTAGTTTCATCGGTTATCAGAAAGCATCGTGGTAAAAACACAGCAAGATTCGAGTTCAGAAAATGTGTAGTAGCAACAAACATCTAACATCCTTGGACTCCACATAAAACAACAAAAAGAGGCATACTCACATTGCAAATGTTAGTGCGAGCCAACGCCGCTTGAATCGCATAGTTTCCATATGGGTCCTGCATTATTTGACTTAATCGTGCATCGTTTACCAATTCATCGATAATTCTAGTGAGATGTTCATCCCTAGCATAAAGACATTTTTCAACAACATTGCTGCTATATTTCTGGATAGACAAGTCCACGTAATGGCCCTCTAGACGTTTGAGGATACCGGCTTCCACCCAATAAAGATCATACTTGCCCGCAAGCTCGAGGGTAAATTGCACAACATAATTCCTGCATCATTGCAACATAAATTCTCACGCTTAGTTCTGAAACATCACTCCATAAGAAAAACTATGGAGATTATATTGTTTCTACACCAAAATTCAGGGCTAGGTCATTGCAAATTTTAAACTTCAGGAACTAAATTATTAGTTACTAAAGTTTAGGAACTAAATTGTTAATTTAGTAAAACTATGGTATCTAAATGTGTTTTTTAACTAACTAGTTACTAGAAAACTTGAATGCTGGCTAATTCATATGCATGTCATATCTATGCAGCCAATCATTCCATAAAAATCAGGTTACTTTGCACATAAACTGAAGTGCACGACAAAAAAAAATCAAACAGAAAGGATTTTAGCTTAGCATTTTCTGAGTATAGTTTATCTCACAAAAATCTTTCATTCCTAAACAGCTGTTTCCATTCAAATATTCCCTCACAAGTTTGCAATCTATAGCGATATTTTCTAAAAGTAGTTGAATCAAATAATTACATCTTGCATAAAAAATGAGTGGAAGAACTGAACTAGAAAACTGAAAAATAACAGAGGTTGGAGTCCATGAACAATATAAAGGTCAAAAAGTAAATTACCCATATTGATCTTGGGAAAGGACCAGAGAATTACGCACAATCTCAAGTATTAAACTATCTCGTTGCCTAACATTACAACAACCGAGGCACTTTTGAAGCACGCAACAACCGTGGCGATCAGTTGCAATCCCGACACAAAATTTTGTTGCAGCATCAAAAAGAAACTGTAGAAGAATTCGTTACCAACATTTAATTTAATTTCATAACAAAAAAGGATTGTTAATCGCCAAGTGCACGTGCAAGAAAAATAAAAATCAGTGTCTGGGGGAAAGATGGACAAAACCTCAACCATTAATACATGGTATTGTATAAAGCAAAGCATAAATCTTCAATTAAAGAGAAACAGGTTGAACTAAAATTGGGTAAGGTTCTATTACAGAAATAATAGTGACTTTGATATATAGACAAGAGAGTGGGTTAGACAAGGGCTTTGCCACATGGCACTGGTTGTGATAGTGATTATATTTTTAAAAGCTTGCACAAATATGTTTCAATAAGTCTCAAATATGTGATAGTGATTTAGGCTAATTGAAGATTGTTTTTATGCAACTCCTCCTTTAGCTATGGGGGCCTCTCACATTCCTTTGTAAATTTTTTACCAGAGACCTTCTAATGGTATAAAACAAGAATTCATGGAAAAATGACAAAGGAAGATATTGATGGAAAACAGCTTGTTACTGCAATTATTAATTTTAGCCATCAGTAAAGAGAACAAATTTTCCAGCTGATTAAGTTACAGACAGAGGACAATGAGAACATACAATGTAAGCGAAAACTAATAACAACATTGATAATGAAATCGACACCAAAGATAATTAAATACTTCAAATTACATACTTACCAAATCTTCAAACCACATAAGCTCCTATAACAAAATAAACACCGAATTAAAAGACTTGGTTTCAAGCCCACCTAGCTGTCTATGAATGAGGGAATTATGTGAATTTTTTGTTCTCTATAGACATTTAAAGAGCTCTAGTTCTCATATTTAAGTAACTCCCATTATCTGATGATCTTCACTCTGCTAGCATGGTGATGATACAACTGCTTCACAATATAAGTTTATCATAATATCTCGCGCTTTTCCCTTCCCTCCTAGTGTTTTCCACTAGGATTTGTCTAATTATCTCAATATAATGATAGGATCCCAATCTTGAGATGGGATGTAAGAAAATAAAACTATAATTGCATTGCAATAAGGAAAAAAAATAGACTAGTATAGCCTATCGAGAGGGGTTGTCTCTTCCGATCTCCTAGAACTCAATAGTCTCAAATATTTCCCTACTAGTACTCTCAAACACATTTATCAATGTGAACACCTAGAAGACAAAACAAATAGATTAAATGTGCTGCATGAAGAAGGTTTTTGAAGGTTATCCACTATGCTTACACCAAATTCTTCTACCCAGACATTATATCTCCCAACTTATCAAATGAACAGGGTCGAAATAACAGAAATGTAGAAAAAGTATAGCAAGATGACAAGCTAAATTCAAAGGAAACTTTCCAGACACGAGTTGCTGCAATTTACTCTGTTGCTTTAACA